CTATTTTAAAACACTTTTCGGTTTCAGAGCTTTTTTGCAACATTTAAGAAAAAAAATGGCCTAACCTTTTTTTTGAAAAAAAAAGGCTTTTTATACCTACTGATCGTGTTATGTGCGCCTGTCTTTCTAGTTTTGTTTATTTTCAATTGTGTATCTTCAACCAATGTATGATACACCATATTTTTCCTGACGAACCCTAGATACATTAGAATAGATAATTTATAACCTAGACATTTAGGACACTACGTAGCCCTTTGTTTCCTTTTCTTTTTTATGTGATTGCAAACATGCCCCCTGCGTAAATTTTCTATTTAAAAAGAAAAAATCGAAATTGTCTGAAGAGATCTAATATCTAAATAAACCTTCTTGGCTTCCAGGGCACTACGCGCACTCGCACATATTCGATTTTAACTTTTCTTTTGTCTATTTTTTTGTGGATTTCTAAAAATCGGAATTTTTAAAGTCAAATTTTTGAATTTTTTTATTTTAAATCCATAAACCTTCCCTGGGGTCATGTGTGTTGCCTCAAAAATGTTAGAATCGATCGGTTCAGCCGTGACGTTTATTGGAACAAACTGGCAGGCAGATAATAGATTTTTAATTGAAAAACTGTTTTTAAGAAACAGAACACCATTTTTTAAAAAGAAAGAAAGAAAGAATGAGGAAATCGGTAGTTTTCGATTCAAATTTAGTAAAATATAATTTATACTATTACTGCAATTCACAAAAATTACTGTTAGATACAATGAACAATTTTTGAATCTTTTTTAAGGTTCAAAGATGATACGTTTCAAATTGAATAAATTATTTCCCCCCCCAACCTCCGACTTTCTCTAATATTATCTATGGTCAGATAAGGTATTATTAATGACCCCTGCTGACAGTTTAACCATTACGATCAAATTATTATGTATTTTCACATTTTTGGTATAATTTGATTTTCTTTTAAACAAGTTAAAAAAAAATTACTATCGTTGATGATATTTACTAAACCTTGATAATAATTGTGTATATTGTACGATCTGGGCTACTATAGTATTTATTTTCTATATTTATAAACTATATAATTCTACTATTCGATTAGTTTAAGTTTCTTCTTTTAAACCGATGTCGAATTTTGATTCTTAAAGTTGGTAGATCATTCATGTCAATAATTAATAACAGTAAATAAATAGCTATTCTAAAATTGCTACATTGCAACAACTAAGAATTAGGAAGAAAGTTTAGGATATATTTCAGAGAAATGAACAAACTTTCCGCAAAAAATCCGCAAAATTTTCAAAGAATCCACGATTTGGTCAGTCCATCAGTAGCATTTGAGTAATTAACTCGCGTCAAACAAAATGGCTAAACAGAGACAGAGCACTGCTAAACCCCAGCAGAAAACTAAAAAGCTGAAGAGTGCCAACAAATCGAAAAAACAAGCTAAGACAGCCCAAGCGTCTGCTCCTAATCAACAGACTCAAGCCTCACTTCAACAAGCTTTATCAGGGCAAGCTATAGCTCAGACTCAAGCTTTTAAAGCATTGGCTCAAGCTCCCTTTCAGCAGGCTGCGTCTCAGCAAAATCAACAAAAACAGTTCTTGTATTCCCATGCTCAGGCTCCTCTTCAACAGGCTCAACAAGATCAAGCTCAGTATCAGCAGGCTCAAGCTCAGGCAGCTAATGCCCAGCAGGCTTTATCTCAGTTGACCAGTGCCCAACAATATCAGGCTCCATATCAGCAGTCGCCACAAGCTCAAGCTCAGTATCAACAGGCTCAAGCTCAGGCAGCTAATGCCCAGCAGGCTTTATCTCAGTTGACCAGTGCCCAACAATATCAGGCTCCATATCAGCAGTCGCAACAAGCTCAAGCTCAGTATCAGCAGGCTCAAGCTCAAGTAGCCAATGCCCAGAAGGCCTTGGCTCAGTTGGCCAGCGCCCAACAAGCTCAGGCTTCATATCAGCAGTCGCCACAAGCTCAAGCTCAGTATCAACAGGCTCAAGCTCAGGTAGCAAATGCCCAGCAAGCTTTAGCTCAGTTGGCCAGCGCCCAACAAGCTCAGGCTCCATATCAGCAGTCGCCACAAGCTCAAGCTCAGTATCAACAGGCTCAAGCTCAGGTAGCAAATGCCCAGCAAGCTTTAGCTCAGTTGGNAAGCTCAGGCTCCATATCAGCAGTCGCCACAAGCTCAAGCTCAGTATCAACAGGCTCAAGCTCAAGTAGCAAATGCCCAGCAAGCTTTAGCTCAGTTGGCCAGTGCCCAACAAGCTCAGGCTCCATATCAGCAGTCGCCACAAGCTCAAGCTCAGTATCAACAGGCTCAAGCTCAGGAAGCAAATGCCCAGCAAGCTTTAGCTCAGTTGGCCAGTGCCCAACAAGATCAGCAGCAAGCTTATGCACAGAAGAGACAAACTCGGCAGCAAGCAAAGAAGGCACAAGCTCAACAACCTAATTTCCAGTAAAATCAGTCTTAGCTTCAGTGAGAACAATTTAATACAGTGTTTAATTAAGAAGCAGAAGAAGAAATCCTTGCCAGGCATCCTGCATCATGCCTAATGTATTATACATGATTTAAAAATTGTAGCATGTTTGCTAGTTTTTACAAATAAACAGTCATACATTTATTTATTTCAATTATGTAGATTGCGGTGTTTATCATTCAAGAGCATTTTCTTACATGAATACTCGTCAATTTTCTAATCCATAAGTGTAAATGTTTTTTTTCCATTTCGCATATATCTTTTTTATCCAGATTTTGTCTCTCATATATCTAAATCTTTTCTGCAAATAGATGCCAAATAAATAAATTGTGTGTAAATGTCGTCTTCTGTTTAATCTTAGGCCAAAAAAAAATCGCATAAATTTATGTATTAATCTTACTCTTCAATTGATTTATTGGGATTTTGTTTTAAAAAAACACCATTAAAGAAAAAATATCACAAAAAGTTTCGTAAAATATGAGAATTAAAGGACGACCTTTTACTTAGAAATCTTTTAAAGTTGATTACAAAAGGTTTGAGGCATGAATTATTGTAGGATTTTAAAAAGGCGGACTAAAGAAAAACATTGGTGAAAATAAAACTGGGGAATATATAGACGACTTTTAGACTCAATTTTTGAATGATTAAATAGTTCAATAAACATAAAATACCTCAATCAGAGGTGCAACTAGGGGGGCGTCCAGGTGCCCCCACCTAGCACCTGCAAAATGAAAAGAAAGATTGGCAAATATCAGTATCACAGGAGTCAGGAATAATAAAACCAAAAGAGTTATTGTAGAAATTTTATTCTACTTGTTTTATCTTTCTGAATTCTCAAGGCTAAAGGCTCTTGAAAACATTTAATGTAAAAAAGTTCCGAACTGTATTGTATTCGTGTTGAGATATCAAAGATTCAGGGAATAGAATATTTTAGTTTGTGACAAAAACTCGGTTCTAAATCTAGAGAACATTCTAAGACTGTACCTGGTAAACTTCTAACTGATTATCATTTTTGATAAAAGTAACCTGTTTATCTTTTTTGATAACTGTAACCTGTTTATCTTTTTTGATAACTGTAACCTGTTTATCTTTTTTGATAACTGTAACCTGTTTATCTTTTTTGAAAGAATTTCTATAAATCGAAAAATGAATTTTGTTAGAATGATCAACCATAAATTAAATAACTTCAGGAGAAAACGTAACATTATCTGTCCTTTTTCAATGTAGATGATTAAAATTACATTTGTATTTTGATGTATTTTTTTAGAATATATAAATGTATCATTTACTCTCAGACAAATTAGAATTAATGGAAATTTAAACCCCCGAGGGATTCAAATAATAAACTGGAGGGCGCAGCCCAAGGGGTTATCATTGAATCCCAAATTTCTTTGTAAAAATAAAAAAATATTTTTATTATTTATTATCAATTTTAAAAGGGACTGGATTAAATGAAAATTGTTGCATACCAAAAAACCAGCTTTTCACAAAGGAATGATTATTTCTTGTAACTTTATCTGTAATTAAACCAGGTACTTAACAAATTATATCAGTAATTAAACCAGATACTTAACAAATTATATCTGTAATTAAACCAGGTACTTAACAAATTATATCTGTAATTAAACCAGGTACTTAACAAATTATATCTGTAATTAAACCAGGTACTTAACAAATTATATCTGTAATTAAACCAGGTACTTAACAAATTATATCTATAATTAAACCAGGTAATTAACAAATTTTCTTTGGCTTTCCGAGCACACATTAAAAGAATTGATTGATATCGTTTATTTTACAGTTGTTGAAAATATAAATCTTTAAAAAACACAAAAAAAAACAATTTGAATCTACAGCCAAATCTGCATGCAACAACTGAAAATTGCCTTTTTTTCGACATCAAACCCTTAAAAAGCACTTTTATTTTGAAAACTTTTTCTACAATACCAGCAGATCCAAAAAGAAAAAAGTTTGGATGAAGGCTCTTTAATTGGATAATATAAACTCTTACGCTGAAAGATCCCAGAGTGTGTAAAATCTATTGCATTATTAAACAAATATTTTTCAATAATTCATTTAATTCAGGTAGAAAGATAATTCAATCTTGAATGAAAATAAATATGTTCTACTTTCTTAGTTGGCCACTGAAGATCTCTTCTTCGTCAGCCTATAGACGGGTTACTGCTATACATATACATCCCAGTTCTATTTTGAATTAAGAATCTGGTAAATTATGGATCCAATAAACCAGGCAAGAAAAATCCTCCCCATAAAACCTTCTTTGAACTCTCGAATAAAATACTTAAAATGAGATAATTGATTACTGTTAAAAAGTACAAGTTTAATTGCATAAAAGATATGAGACATTAATTTTCTTCTTATAAACAATTCATATACTTCAAACCAAAAGTAAATGTTCTAAAGGACTGATAGATGTAATTTCAAGTAACCAACCTATTAAAGGTTCTATAAACAACGATACCATTTAAACATTTATCTGGGAAACAATGAGGAATACATCGTCGTCATTTCATCTTAAAAAGTGATGAATTCTGTTAATTATGTTCATTGTCTTTGTTGCGTAAAATCCACTTGTCATTTTTATGGATTATGGACAAATTAAAAATTTCAAGATAAAAAACCTCAAATGGTTTTCTTGTTTTGTTTTAAATAATTCTTAAATCCATGACAAAAGATGACATTATGAAACGTCAACAGCGTAAAAAGTACTAGATTATTAGAGAAGACGACATTTGTTACTATTGTCGGCTCACCCACAAAATGCGTAAAATTTGCGTAGATTTTCTGATGCGCTATCTTTCATTAGCAAAGTCTTTGGTTTTATCTAATGTTATAGTTATAATTATAATTATAACTATATTATAATTATTATTATTATAATTATAATTATAATTAATATGTTATAATTAAAACTGTTCCTTGTTGAATAAAACATAATTTTAGTAAGGAAAACCTACTCTTAAATTAGTCTTTTGAAAATCTTTCAAACTTTTAATATTTTTTATATACCGTTTTTTGGTGATGTGATCACCAGCCATACAGCTGTATTAATCCTATTCAGGCTGACGTCTAGTTGGGGGGGGGTCCCAGGACCCCCCCTCTTTTTCATTTTTTCATTCATTCATATTTTTATTCAACTACAAAGCATGAGATATTACAAATAAGCAATCACAATTTACTATGCAGTTTGGACCCGCCTAACCAGGGTTGTTTGTTTTAAGTGGTTGACCCTTATTGTAATACAAATCTATAACATTTGATACACTTTTGGAAAGCCCTTGGGCTCTACTTTAATAATTTTCCAAAAAATTTCAAAATTTAAAATATTTATTGCAATTTCAAATTGTCAAGCAACAAGCAAAAAATGTGCAAAAACAAAAAGTACGCGAAATATGGTAAATGATACATTTTTGAACAAAAATCTATGAAAAATTTCTCAGCGAAAATTGTGAAATCTGCTTCCTTTTGTCTAAAGCTTTCCAAAGAGCTATAAAAAGTCAAAGTCTAATAGATTTAGCCGCGTAAATGTAAAATAAGGTATTCAGGCAATAGATAAAAGCACCGCTTTGAGCCTAAAGTGAGGGACCTGTGTTAGAAAAGTAAAAAAGCCATCACAGCAAAATATTTAGATCTTTTGTTCATTTCGTCCAGCATTTTCTTCATTTTTTCTCATATCCCTGATTTTTTTCTAGTTTTATAGCTTAAAAGGTGTGGTTTTTGATTCGCATTCCATTAGATTTCATCTTAATTACTGCGTCAAACAATTTTATTTAGTTTTTTACTGGTTGTATTTTGGAGTGCTGTGTCCGAATTTAATGAATTTAAGCCACGTCTGAAATCCCCCAGAAACCGGTTTTAATTGACCGCCGGCTAAATCTTGAAAAATTTAATACAAATTTAAGTGGAACCAACTATATTTGAGCGGCGGCTTAAATTCTTTCAATTCGGCCTCAGGAACATTTTATTCGAATTATTCATGGTTACCTGTTCTTGTTCAATATATTGTGTTTCGCTACTTAGCGATTTCCCTAAAGACCTAATGTTGTTGACGGAAGACAGCAACACGCTAGACAAATCAGGATAATAGGCC